GGAATGCAAACTACACAACTGAGTGAGAGCTTTAATGCTAGTTTGAAGGGGTATTTGAAATCAGACCTACAATTGCCTGAGTTTTTTACTCACTTTGTAAGAATGGTATTTGATAAGCGGTATAAGGAAATGGAAGCTGAGTATCATTTGTTGTTCCGGATTGTTCACTGCAAAATGGAGGTAAGTATCTTGATACATGCACGAGAAGTTTATACCAAAGCCATATTTAAGGCATTTCAAGCTCAGTTTGAAGACTCTTTAAAGTCTTCCATAACGAAGTGTGTGTATAATGGTGAACAATATATCTTCACTGTTGTTAGGGATGGGTTCTTGAAGGAGAGGCTAGTAAAAAGAGAAGGTCAATTTACAGTATCTTGCAGCTGTAGGATGTTTGAAACTATAGGTGTCTTATGTAGGCATTGTATCAAAGTGATGACAGAAGGCAGAGAAACTACATTGATAAAAAAGATACCTGAACAATATATCTTAGAGAGGTGGACAAAAAATGCAAGGGTTGATAATGTTGTGCAAGACATGCATGGGCACGAGATTGTAGAGAACCCAAGGCTGAAACAAACTTCTCGATATAGAAGTTTATGTTCTAAGTTTGTTCGACTTGCATCAAGAGCATCTGAGAGTGAGAAGACATATGAGGCAATAGATATGGAAGCTGATAAGTTAGTAAAGATGGTTGAAGATATGTTACGTGTAGAAATAAATGGTGAAAAAGATGTGGAAGATGAAGCTCCAAATGTCTTGGTTGATTGCTCTAATAATGTAACTGTTGTGAATGCAAAGGGATTTAAAAAGAGAGAAGCTACACATCGTGGAAAACGTCGAGTAAAGGGAGGCTTTGAAGCTCAGTTAAGCAAAAACAAAAATAAGCTCGCACAGGTCAAATCACTAACTATAATTGAAGTCATTATTTACTTCTTGCTGAATATAGTCATTATTGATGTCTATGTAATGATAGGTAACTAAAGTTCCAAGACATTGTGATGCAATGGACCAATCTCATGTACCTTCTTCACAACAATCTCAGGTTTCAAAACAATGCTTCACTTTGTGTATAATGAGTTTTCAAACAACTATAGTGTTATATGATTCATTACTATCAGTTACAGGTACCTATGCACTCTCCTATAACGGATGGTAATGGTAGATATATGCCACTGCTCTTTCATCCGTATAATGTGAGTGTGTGTTTGCTATAAATATATGATTTTTTTTGCTATTTGTTTATATTACTAGTATTTTGACAGATACATGGGCATCAATTGAATATGGAAAGTTCACAAGAATTTGTTCAATCAAATATCATGGGATTTTCATTTGCACAAGACCCAGAAAAATCAAATTATGAGCAGAGTTCAACTCCAAGACAGAACATTTCTTCAACTTTCAAGGGAGATAGTTGGTCTGCTACTCCTCTACACTCCGTACATGAACAGAGGAGATGAAATTTTGTTTGCTTGCGTTAATGTAACTAGCTTCCTGTAACTTTTGTTGTGAAATTTAGACATTTTCTTGATGGAAGTTGTGTTAGGATTCTAGATCTGTAACTTTATTGACTTTTGGGGAGTTTTCTGTTAATTGTTGTTGCTATTTGTATTTGTAACACCTGATTTTTTTTAGATGGTGCTCGAACTCAATTATGAGCAACTTGGATTAACTTTAAATCAATGAGCTTTCCCTAAGTTGTTTTTCTTGGAGTTGTTAGTGATGGGTTTTCTTTATGCAATATGTGCAATATGTGCATTGTAGATGGATACAACAAATTTGTTGCTAGTTGCATGAAATGGGTTTTCTTTGTGTAATATGTGCAGTATGTGCATTGTAGATGGATACATCAAATTTGTTGCTTTTTTTTTTGATTATTCAGCATACCCAGTATTTCTCTGAAACATTACAACATACCATCTTACAAATCACTAACTCAAAAACCATCTTAGATACCTCTAAGATCAGGCCGAACATCAAATGAACAAAAAATATTCTCAATATGAGACCACAACCAAACAATTGACACAACCAAAAAAAGCCTAAAGGAACATAGAACATCAAGTCTCATGAAAAGTTGAAACATGGAAGAACTACAGCATTGAACATTTTGTTGTACATGCACACAATAAAACTGAAGATAAATATTCCTTACATTCAAACTGCTTGCCCAAGCTAACGTAGCTTACAACTCAATATTTACATTCTTTTACAATAAAATTTCCACCAGTCGGTAAAATCAGGCAAGGGAAAGAAACGAAAACTCCTTTCCTTCTCTATCAGTCGGTAAAATTGGTGATTCCCAAAATATGCTAGCTTACTGCACTTCTACCTTCACCTCAAGGCATCTTCTTTGCTCCGGCTGTTACAATCCACTCGCAAATTTCTGCACATAGGACAAGCAACTCATCACTTTGAACCCCTATTCTCATTACCAGTCTTTCAATTTAAAAAAGACAATAACTACCCACATATAGTCGCTTAAATTCTAGGCATTAACTAAATAAATAACCTCACCACATAAGTAATCCAACTTCGCTCGCGGATCCAGAGAGATTACCTGCAGCGTCGGAGGAGGAATCTCGCGGAGGAATTTTGGGGAGAGTTTTGGGGAAGAGAGAGAGCTCGCAGAGGTGGTCCGGATCTGCGACGATCTCCGCTCACGGATCGAGATCGAGTTCGAGAGAGAGAGAGATATCAACGGCGGGGTCGGCTCGTGGAGGTGGTCCAGATTTGCGGTGGTCCGGATCTGCGACGAACTCCGCTCGCGGATCGAGATCGAGTTCGAGAGAGAGAGAGATCAACG